GGTTAATTGAACTCATTTTGCTTTCCTAATATGAGTATACACTGCTATGAATTTCCCTTGTAAGACTGCTTTCATTGTGTCTCATAGATTGATATGTTATATTGACATTGTCATTTAATTGTAGAACCTCTCTGATTTTTTTCTTTTTCTGATTTCTTCTTTAATTTCCTCTGTGACCCATTGGTTATTCAGAAGTGTGTTGTTCAATTTCTATGTGTTCATAAAGTTCTCGTGGTTTCTTTTGCTCATGATCTCCAATTTAATCGCACTATGGTCTGATAATATATAAGGGATAACTTCAATTCCTTTGCATTTAATAAGTTCTGTGAGCAAGTATGTGGTTTATTTTGGAGAATGACCCATGTGCAGCTGAAAAGAATGTGTATTCTGATTTTGTGGGGTGGAACACTCTATCTGTTAAATTCATTTGTTCAAGGGTTTGATTGATTTCTTGAATTTATTTTTTGTCTAGTTGATCTGATTCATCACATCACCACAATGAGGTCTCCCACTACTATTGTATTAGTGCTTATTTGATTTTTTATGTGTTAGTGTTTTTTTTGTTTTGTTTTGTTTTTTGAGACAGGGTCTCACTATGTAGTTGAGTCTGACCTGGAACTCACTATGTAGCTCAGGCTGGTCTCGCACTCATGGTGATCCTCCTGCCTCAGCCTACTAAGTGCTGGGATTACAGGCGTGAGCCACCATGCCCAGCTGTTAGTATTTGTTTTATATAGTTGGGCGCATTTGTGTTTGGTGCATATATATTCATGATTGTCATCTCTTCCTCTTGGATTGTTCCCTTTACAAGGATGTCATGGCCTTGTCTCTCTTAATCAGTGTTGGTTTGAAATCCACTTGAGCTGCAAAGAGGATAGCTATTCCTGCTTTTTTTGGGGTTCCTGTCACCTGGAGTATTTTTTTCCACCCTTTAATTTCAGTCTATGAGTTTCTTTTTGAATTATGCTTCTTGTATGCAGCATATTGTTGGATTTTGCTTCTTGACTCATTCTGCCAGTCTATTTCTTTTGATTGAATTGAGACCATTACCATTGATGGTTATAACTGATATGTACTGACTTATCCTAGTCATGACTTTGCTTTGCTTTTTGGTTTTTTGAGACAGGGTCTCACTATGTAGTTCAGACTGCTCTGGAACTCACTATGTAGTCCAGGCTGGTCTTGAACTCGTAGCAATCCTCCTGTCTCAGCCTCCCGAGTGGTGGGATTACAGGTGTGTGCCACCATGCCCAGCTTTTTCATTTTGATTCTCCCCCTTTGTGTTTAATTTCTTGTCATGCCTGATAGAGTCATTCTGCTGGGTTTCCTGGGGTTGTGATCCTCATTGTCTTATCCTAGGATATTATTTAAAATTTTTTTGAGTGCTGGTTTGGTATCTGTGAAGTTCCTTAGGTGCTCATGAAAGTATCTTATTTTTTTTTTTTTTTTTTTTTTTTGATACCAGGATCGAACTCAGGTCCTTGCACTTGCAAGGTATTCCATCAATTTTAAAAGATAGTCATCAATCTGGGTTGGAGGTTGTTTTCCTTTAGGGCTTGAAGCACTTCACTCCGGGCTCTTCTCACCTGAGGGTTTGTGTTGAGAAGTCTGCTGTAATTGTGATGGGCTTTCTTTTGTATGTGATTTATTTCTTTAACTGCTTGCAGAATTTTGTTCTTTTGAGTTTCTGGAATCTCAACTATTATATGCCTATGTGAAAATTTTTTAATCGTGGCTAGTTGAGAGTACTATATGCCGCACGTATCTGTATGTCAAGTTCTTTTTCCTTACTTGGGAAGTTCACATAACAACCACTTTAAAGTGTATAACTTCACAGTGTTTGTTGCATTAAAGTCACTATAACCACCATTCTGTTTTCTATCTCTACAGATTTGCCTTTTTTGCATATTTCATGTAATTAAGATCATATAACAAGTGGCCTTTTTTGTATGACTTCTTTCACTTAGCAGAATGCTCTTGAGGTTCATCCAAATAGTGTATTTTGTTCTTTCAAGGCTGAATTCCATTGCAGGTATATACCATACTTTGCTTATCTGTTTCAGCTGATAGACATTTGGGTTGTTTTTGCCTTCTCACTACTGTAAATAAATTTATTCAGGCTGGGTGTGGTGGCGCACACCTGTAACCCAGCACTTGGGAGGCTAAGGCAGGAGGATCGCTGTGAGTTCGAGACCAGCCTGGGCTACATAGTGAGTTCCAGGTCAGTCTCAACTACATAGTGAGGGCCTATCTCAAACAAAACAAAACAAAAAACAAAAAAACCCATTAATAAGTTTATTCAGGTACTGTTCAAGGTATTATCTATTTTCAGTTCTTTTGAATATATACATAGGAATGAAATTGCTGGTAATTCTGTGATTAACTTTTTGAAGATACCAGTTTTCCATAGCAACTACAATATATATTCCCACTCAGCAGTTTGAGGGTTTCAGTTTCTTCATATCCTCAGTGGTACTTGTTATTGTGCATTTAAAAAAATTATAGGCATCCTAGCAAGTATGAAGTGGTATCTCACTGTGACTTTGATTTGAATTTCCTTAATGACTAGTATGTTAAGCATTGTTTCACTTATATATTTTCTTTTGAGAAATATTTGTATTTTGTCCATTTTTAAGCCCCACTTTGTTATGAGATCTTTTTGTATACTGTGAATACTAGGCTGAAATCTACTTTCAGAAGGACTGTTAATATTCTTTAGTTTTGGGAAATACTCTTGTGAACTTTTCTTTGCTCTTTTTAGCATTCGTTTAGTGTCCTTTCTTGGCTGATCCCAAACTCCAGTGTTTGTATTTCCAGACCAGTAAGGCTGTCTAAAATTCTTATTTTTTAATCCTTCAGTCATCATTTTCTGCACATTTCCCCTACTTTTTAGCTTTCAGCTCCAGGCTATTGGTTATGAATCAGTTGTTGCCTTAAGGGGAAAACAACTGCTAAGTAACAGTCTTATATCTGCCATTACCTTTTGGCCATAGTCTTAGTTCTTCAACTTCTTCCTGCTTTGGTGAGTTCCCAGTTTAGTCCCCTGTGTTTCTGTGTCTATAATTAAATCTAATTTTTGACTAAAGTAGTCAGCCTGATAAAAGTCTTGTAGCCAAAATCAGAAACCCGAGTCTGCTTCCATTGGAGGAAATCAGTTACCTAGATGAATCTTTGGCCAGCATAGTAGCTGCCTATTAACTCATTAGCAGCAATAGTAGTTGATGCTACATTTACTCTTAAATCCTAGACATAGTAAGTATTTACTGTACCCCTTTCTTGAAAATAGATTGTAACACAATGGTGTATACCAAGACTTTCAGGGGTTGTTTTGGGTTTTTTCTTTTTTGGTTTGTTTTCAGACCAGGTCTCACTAGGTAGACAGGTTGGCCTTGAACTCATTCATGGTGCTCCTGTCTTAGCCTGCTGAGTACAGGCATGCTGCACTGCACGTGGCTTAGGACATTTCAAAAAGTATTTCAAGTGAATACATTTTTGTTTTCTCTACTTTCCATGTACTCTTTCCAAAACCTGGACTTCCCATTTGTGTACTGTTCTTAGACTGGTTCACTTTTCCCATCTGCTGTTACACATTTGTCTTCTTTCAAAAGGAAGATATAACTTACCCACTCAATTTCACAATGTTGAAGGTGGGGAAAGCAAAACCCTTGGAGAATAGAAAGGTAATTTGAATTATGTGGTACAATCAAAATCTACAGTTTAAATTCTTAGAATGTTATTACAGTGAAGGACACATTGCCGTGAATTCTCAAAATGCTCTCCCCTTGCTTCAAATACTTATCCCATTGTTTTTGTCACTTTCTGAAGTAGTTCTGGAAGTTCTCTTCCGTGTTTGAAGTACAATAAAAAATTACTGCTGAGTACCATCCAACAGAAAGGCAGGCTTGTAAAAACATTATTCACTGGATCGGGCACCATGTGACTTCTTGATCTTCTTCAAAGTCAAAATGTCCAAAAAAGGTAAATATTAGAATCCACTTAGGACATCAAAGTAGTCACAGTAGCACAACTAAGCATAGAAAAAAGAAAAGACTTCTAGAATTGCTTCAGAAAGTGGCAAGAATGATAAGCAATTACATATTGAAGGGAATAACAGTAATGTCTTTTTCTGTAATACGTTTTTAAAAATTTAAATACCCTATTTTGACCTCACCTGCGTTGAGGAAAAGAATCCAGTAATGGCTAACAAGTCTTTGTTTTGCACCTCACTGGTTTTTAGTTTATTGCCTTCAGTCAAGTTCTAGTCAGTTTATCAGCCGTAAATCATTAAAATTTATTACTTTTGCCATTATTACTCAGAAAAAGTTTAGTGAATATAGTGACACTGAGGAACAAATTGAATCATTATAAAACTTTGTTATCTACTTGTTTACATGAAAATTTTCTCAGTGATTCCATAAGATGGCAAAATAGAAATAGAATTTTTGTCAACTGTGATTTCATTTTAGGTTTTCTTTTCTTTTTTTTTTTTTTTTTTGTTTTTTTTTTTTTTTTTTTTTTTTTTTTTTTGGTACCGGGGATTGAACTCAGGTCCTTGATGCTTTCGAGGCAGGCACCAAAACCGCTGAGCTAAATCCCTGGCTCATTCTAGTTTTAATTAGTATAGATTCATGAGTAATAAAAGGCTTCCAGGGTCTGACTTTCCATGCGATGCAGGAACTGTTTAGAGAGCTTGTGAGGAGGTAACTGTCTTTTGACTCAGTGCAGGTCAGTTAGGGAGAGAGTGGGAAAGTGACTGGAGACAGAAGGGGACCTTTGAGGACAGAAAGTAGTTGTTAACAGTTGTAACAAAGGCATAGACTTTACCACAAAACAACTCAAGAAAAGTTTCATGATTATCATGTACCATGCACTACTGTTAAGGGGTTAAAAGAGGTGGAAAATATAGTTATCTGTCTTTGAGAATTTCAAAGTCTCTTAAGACATCACCCCCCAAGATTTCAAATTTGTTTTTATTATGTTTGTACATTCAGCGAGGGGAGCTGGTACATGTACACAATGCATCTTCATCCTTTTTTACTTTTCTTTCCCCTCCCTTCCTTCCTAGATGGGTCGTCTATACAGGGCTTGCTCCAACCCACTTGTGTATAATAAGATTTCCATTTGAGGATGGAGAATGTCTATGCACACCAACTTTGTTAGGTCAGATAACCAGTTCATGATGGGAAGCACAGCTCATGTGATCAACTGGTGAATCACGCTTAAGTGCTGAGAATTAACTAAGGCCCAGTAGCAGGCCAAGAGCTTTCTTAAAATGAGTAGCTACCTGTGACGTTAGCAGGGTCTGGCTCCAAAACCTCAGAGGCCTGCAACTGCAACTTCCCTGCAGAGGCCTGCCAAAGGCTCTCTTGCACTCCCAGCTGCCACTGATACTCCCGGCACTGCTCAGTCTGCCAGATCACATAGGATATGTGGCTGAGTAGCTCCCACAGCAGTCTCAACCAGTTCAAACCCTCCGCTTCCTATGGGTCCAACTCAAAAAACTAGCCAAGTATTAGGGTGACTGCGCTACAGTAACATACCTGAATATGCACTTGTTTTTCTACCAGGTGCCCTTGTTGTAGGAGCAGTTAATACTTTTAGAACCTCTTCAGGTATTCATCTTGACCTTAGAAGAGATGTCTCAACATGCCCCACTAATTTCACTGAGGTAAAAGTTCCCTGAATTTAATCAGATTTCCTACCTTCTTACAGGCAAATATCTCACCAAGAAGTTGAGAAAGTGATCAAGACCCCTCCAAACTATTTATGATGTAGGGCTGCAGATATTATCTGAGATAGGACAGTGAAGGTATATTGCTAGGCCTTAATTGTCAGGTGTGGAGAAAAAGGCATTTACCAGATCATAACAGGCACCGAGAGACGTGCTACTCTGCTCAATGGAACTACATCTGTTACAGCAGCTGCAATTGCAGCCACTGGGTTAAGCTTGAGAATCCATGGTCATTCTGCAACTAACACTGTACAAATATAAATGCCACCATAGAACAGTAAGAGAGTAAAAGTTCCTCCATTCCTGTTATTTATCTTTTGAGTTTACTTCTTATATACACATATAAACATATAGTTGTTTTTTAAATACACACACCATACACACACACACACACACACACACGATAAAACTCTGCAACTTGCTCTTTTCAATCAATGGCATATCACAGACCCTTTCTGCTTCAGTATAAATAGACCTTACTCATGTTTAATGGCTGTATATTCAGTGAAACAGACACAGTTAGTTTATTTTAACCAGTCTCCCTCCTGATGGATGCTTAGATTGATTCCCTGGTTTTGCTATCAGAACTAATGCTGAAATGAACATCTTTTCATAGATAACTTTACATATGAAATTAAAATTTCAAATATATCACACATATTTACTTGCACGTGTAGAAATATTTCTGTAGGCCTCATTTCCTGATGAGAGGGAAGCACCATTTTCCACTTTTCTTTACAACAAATTCTGATAAAATTCTTTCACTGAGAAATGCATTCAGTTTCTAGTAGTTCTTGGCACACCAGGCTTTCACTGTCTCTTGTATTAGCACTTGGTGAACTTGAGGACTGACAGGATTTCTTGCCCTGCTTGTCTGGAAAGTGCAGTGTTCCCATGCAGACCTTTGGTCTTCAGTGTTTTCAAAATTTCTTCTAAATGAGAATTTTTTTAAAAAGGGTAAATCTAATTAAATCATTTCATGATATATAAGATCACTCAATATTTAATAAGATGATAAACACAACTTATAAATTAGATTAGTCTGACAAAACAATGTAAATCAAGTAAATATCTATTAAAGTGAACATGAACTTTAGACAGATGGGAACATTTTCTACTTTTAAGGTGTTCCTGAGGATTAAGGTTTGTAATCAGACTGAGCAGCCTGGTTTGAATGGTAGCCTATATTGGGGCTAACAGAAACATTCTTTTTTGGTACTGGGGGTGGAGTTCGGGCCCTTGCACATGTGAGGCAGGTGGCGGAACCACTAAGCCAAACCCCCAGGCCTCAGTAAACTTATCACCAGGGACAAATTTGGTAGTTGTGTGGCCTAATCTTTGCTATATAGCCTTCCCTTTGGATAAAAAAGGTCAATGAAGGTATGGGCAAGTGAACAGCAATACTGTCCAGTGAGAGTCAAAAAGAAATAGGTTATTTTGCTCAGGAGGCTGAGGCAGGAGGATCGCTGTGAGTTCAAGACCAGCCTGGGCTACATAGTTCCAGGTCAGTCTCAACTACATAGTGATAAAAAAAAAAAAAAAAAAAAAAAAAAAAGAAGAAAGAGGTCATTTTTTTTGGGTGTGTGACAAAAGCAAAACCTTGTATACATAAATAAAACTAAAAGACTGAAGCAAGAAAATGTAGTTAAAAACAAAGAAAGGAGAAAAAAAAAAAAGAAAAGTAGTAATCATGATAATCATGAGATCTGGGGGTCTGAGGATAGAAAAAATCAAATTCCAAGTATACAGAAAAGAGAAACTAGATTATGGTCAAGTTATAAAGTAATCTGAAAACTAAGTTACAAACATCTATGTAATAAGAGAGCTTTCAGGTGAGCTAAAGAGTGTACGGCAGAGTTGTCAAGGGTATGAGTAGAGAAAAAATTCACAACACTGAGAGTGAAGTGTTAGAAGAAATCAGAGAATTTGTATTTGAATCTTAGTTTATGAATGGAAAAACTGTACTCACTTCAAAAATGAAGACATTTTTACTTTAAGATTTTTTTATCTTTTGGCTTTTTGAGACAGGGTCTCCCTATGTAGTTCCTGCTGGCGTTGAACTCACTATGTAGTCTAGACTGGCCTCAAACTTGCAGTGACCCTCCTGCCTCAGCCTCCTGAGTGCTGTGATGACAAGGCATGTGCCAGCATACCTGGCTGAAGAAGATAATACTTCTAAAACTTAAAAAATTTACCTCTTGGAAATTTCCATGCATTTCTGTATTGTCAATTAATTACTATCCCACATTACTTTATCAATTATAGTCTTCTACATTATTAACTTTTGTTTTCAGCAAAGTAAATGGTTAAATAATAAGCTGGTCTGTATTACCTGGGTTATTTTCTTTTATGGTAACTAGATAGAATAATCCTCGTGGGGAAAGTAGATCTGAAGCTAGTGGGAAGAATCTGTCCATGATTTCTCGACCATTTCTGCCACCAGCCCAGGCTGCTTCTATTCCATGGCTTCCTACCTGTGCCAATTACAAAGGCAGTTTCCTTTTGACTCAGGTTTCATGTAGCTCACAGCTCATCTTACTGACAGACAACATCACCAGACAAGTATGTATGTAGTACTTTACTGCTGGCAGTAAGGCTGAAGAGAAGTTCCACAACTTCCTAGTTTCTAGGATCTTGAGCAAATCAGTAATTGTCTTTGTGAATTAGTTTCTTCCCTTATCTATATAATTAGAAAATAGTTCAATCTGTACAATTAAAAAATTATAGAAAACTTTTTTTAACTGTTAGGAAGTATAAAGCTTTGAAAACACTGTACATACTAACAGTTGTTACTACTAATTGAGAAACCTGGGTAATTCTATATTACTATAGAAGAACTGGAAAGAAGCTTGTATTAGAACAAATCTATATAGAAGGAAAATATCCTAATACATCTGACTTGCTAGATCACTTGAAGAAGGAAATATAAATACCTCTTTAAGGAACCTATTTAATATATAAAGGTACATTCAAATACTTTCCTTCTAAAAATCTAACTCTAGAATCAAACTTCATGAATTTATGTAGTATTACAAATCTTTAGATCATTACCATTATTTATTATATTCCAAATTAGAGAATATTTTTAAGAAATAAAAAATTACTTCAACTTTGACATAACTGTTTTCTATTTGCTTCTATGCCTTTTGTCCATATTTTAGTTTAATTATTTATATGTAATCATACCTTCTACTTTCATTAACTTAATATGACAAATATTCCCCATTTTCCTTTATATCTATAACTATGTGCACATATAGTTTTACAAAGAAGGAAAATGTTTGTATATCTGCTTTTTAAAAAGCTGCATGCTTTGCTCATCTGCACCCTCCATTTTCTATATAGTCAAGTTTTTCTTTTGACCATGTTTTACAAAGATATAGTCACTATTCTTACCTGCATCTTGCTTTTCTCATGTAACCAGTATCTTATGGAAATCTCATCTTGTCTAATATAATTCTAATTCATTCTTTTTAATGGCTGTAAAATATTTTATAGTGGAATGTATCGTTTTATTCAGCTGTTGGTGTTGTTCACTGTGTCTGATTTTCTTTGAATCTAATTCTATTTCTACATCTATCATATATTCCTTTCACTACAATTTTCTACAACCTTAGTCATAAGAAACTTACAAGTCCCCCCTTTTTTAAAATGAAAACTTTCATTCTTGGGACTTCCCTTTCCTGGCACTCCCTCTATTTTTGTCCTGGGCTAAACTCCCTCTTCTTCTGGGACACACGTCTGTCTTTTCTTTTGTTTATCCCCTCACGTTGGAGGAACCCATTCTCTGGATGATCCAACAAATAAGATTGTCTGGGGCTTGGCTTTACCATGCCTCTCTTGTCACTCTCCCCAAATTAGGACTCTTTTGTGATATGGCTCTCCAGGGATGCTTGGCACATTTATCTGCTTACTCTAGAGATGACTCTCCAGAAACATCATCTAGCATCAGCCCCCGAAGAGATGCTCAGGTGTTTATGTGCTGCTTCCAGGAAGATCACGTGCCACCAACCAAACTCTTACAGGCTGTGGAGGGGTGGTTTCCATCTTCATAAAGGTGCAGGCCCATCTGGTGGCCCTCTGTTGGCCTGCTACGTGGGTCAACTACTGTGTTCACTGCTGATTCTTTACACAGGCACAAAGCAATAGCAACTCACTGCATGTTTCCAGCTGCACAGTAAATATAGCCACATCTTTTTAGAAGCACAAGTTTCTGCTATTTGTGGATTTTGTCTCCTAGCTCTAATCTCTTCTTTCACCTTCATAATTTCCTCTGGTTTACCTTCATGCTCTATATACTTAAACACTTCTTTAAATTGATTTCCAAACCACTGATCTGGGTCTTGACAGTGACCACATGCTCTTCTAATTCACTGCCTAAAGTTGTACTCTATATAATAATGTTTTTAAGCTCCAGAAGATTGTTCTTTAGCTCTAGTTTGATCCTACTCTTTAGCTAATTGTTCAGCTCATGATAATCCTGATACCAGTTCTCTCTAATGAGACCGAAAACCCCAAGGCACTGTCTATACTCATTTACCTGTGTGTCGTACCTCTGTGAACGGCCCAGGAGACGCACAGAGTATAGTACTAAGAACACAGGAGAAGGGTGCTCATTCAGATCGTATTCCTCGAACTGCCTCTTCATTCACTGTCCAACCAGCAGTTTGCCAATCTGACAGACCACGATTTATTTAACTGTCTCTCTACTGTTATTCACACACACATTTATTCAAATTATTTGCCATCATAAATAAAGATGTGATAAACATTTTTATAAGTTTCAACTTTTAGTCTGTCGTTGATCTTTATTAAATTAGGTCTCAAAGACTGAGATTATCGGACTGCAACATTTTTATCAACCTTGATATTCTCATAGTGCTTTCCTGAAGTTTTAAGTTGCATTTTCCTCATGCTATGGTTTAAATGTATCTTTCTGAAGTTCTTATGTTGGAAACTCACTCCGCGAACATATTTAAGGTATCTGAGGTGGGCATTTGGGAGGAAAACAGGGTTAGGTGAGGTCATAAGGGTGGAGTACCTTGATGGGATTAGTGGCTTTACCAGAAGAGGAGATCTGCGTTTACGAATGGATGCTCTCTCACCCTTGGTATGTGATGCCCTCCACCATATTACAGCATAGCAAGAAGACCCTCACCAGATGCTGGCACTTGAATATTGGACTCCCTTATCTCTACAACTATGAGGAATACATTTCTTTTCTTTATAAATTACCCCATCGGTGGTATTCTTTTATGAAAGCACCTTGTTCTTTCTCTTGTGACGATACCACCCTTCCTTCTCATCCAAGTTCCCAGGTCAGCATGGATAGCAATGGCTTTTTTGTTGCCTAACAGCACCACTAATAGAAACAGCCAAATGGATGTGTCCCATCTTGGCGTGGAGGTGAGTATAATGATTATCACCATTGCTGGACAAAAATCAACAAAAAAAGAACAAAATCAGCACAATGATTAGAGGAAAGCTAGTCTTTGTCCATTATCAAACTTTGTCTGCCTTTATCTTCCTGGGAAAACGTTAATGCAGTTTGCTTCTTCAGCATTAAGATTTTTTTAAAAATCACATATTTCTATAATTTATTTCCCTTAACTAAAATGAGAACTGATCTCATCTTCCACTTTCTGGTATACCAGTGAAAGATGGAAACCTGAGATTTTCAGAAAAAATTCCTATGTGAACTGTGGCTGATTAAAAATATAATGGAATATTTTATGTTACAAATTTATTATTCATAATAAAGGTGAGATAAACAGGTAGATAAGATAATACAGACATATGAATACATGAATTTAAACACCATAGCCTGATTTGGGTAAGAATTTTAAGAGCAAATATAAATCAGTTTGTATTTCCATTAGCTTTAAGTTCCTTTCCTGTGTTTACCAACGGTATCTGATTACTGACAATCAGAATAAAATCAGAGCAGTTTGCGTTAGCAGCAATTGATTGATGTCATATGATGAAGTTAATTTTCTTTTATTTTTTCATTATTTATTTATTTACTGGTACCGGGTATTGAACTCGGTAGAGCTTTTCTCTAATTATTGTGCTGATTTTGTTTATTTTTGGTGATTTTTGTCCACCAACGGTGATAATCATTACACTCACCTCCACGCCAAGATGGGACACATCCATTTGGCTGTTACTATTAGTGGTTGCTGTTAGGCAACAAAAAAGCCATTGCTATCCATGCTGACCTGGGAACTTGGATGAGAAGGAAGGGTGATATCGTCACAAGAGGAAGAACAAGGTGCCTGTGCTTGCAAGGCAGGCAGTGGAACCACTGAGTTAAATCACTGGCCCTGAAGTTAATTTTATTTTTATAAACAAAATAGCTAAAAATATTCATAATTAATTTTGTTGTATGCCTTACCTCTTCAGATGGAGTCACTACATAGGGGGGATTAAATACCAGAAGATCAACTTTTTCCTTCAATCTGGGTAGCAAGCCTTTGACCTAAACATATTAAATAACAGTAAGAGTTTTAATTATTTATTAATTTAAATAATTAATAAATACATCTTTAGATATATTCTACTGGGCTAGAGATCTAGCTCAGTGGTACAGTGCTTATTCAGCATGCTTGAGGGCTTGGGTTTGATCCCAGCACTTGAAAAATTAAATACTATGTTTTCAGAAACAAAGTGTTAGAGGGCTGTACCTATACAGGTAAATAGATATACAGTATTCTTACAATTTCATTCAGATGAAGATTATATGCATTTAACTAAAACTAAGGTAATTGAACTACTTTTCAAAATAAACAAATGCTCAGCAAAAGCTCTGCTCTTCAACAGCACCTATGTCTACACTTGGGGTTCATTGTTAGAAGATGAAATAGGAGGAGGAAAGCTTTTATTCTGTGGCATGTATTTAGCATAGGTTTGGACAAAAACGTATAGCTGTATCTGCGAACTTAAATATTTACTTCCTCCAACCAAGAAAAATGTTCTCTGAAGGATAGAAAACACCAGAAGATAGACTGTTTTGATTTCTACTTCAATTGTGTTGGCTTAAAGAATTAAATATTAAAGAAACTTGAAAATAATGGTTTAGAGACAAAACAATTGGCATTTTGAAAAACTTTAAATGGGTTACAATTTTCTATAGAACAGCAAGAAAAGTGTATTTTTTAAAGAAAGTACATTTAAATCAATTAAATTCAATCCAATCAATCTGTTTAAAAAATCCTGTTTGATTTTGTCATTCTATGCCTTCACAAGCATAGTAAAAAGTGGTTTCACTCTATCATGACCCACCTCCAGACCATTTCCTTTAATTATCACACTGTATTGACATTTATCCATGAATTATTTTTTTTTAATTTATTTTTTAATTTTTTTTAAATCTATGAATTCTGTGTGGTTTCTTTTTTGGTACCAGGGATCGAACTTGAGACCTTGTGTTTTGCAAGGCAGGTGGCAAAACCACTAAGCTAAATCGCTGGCCCTCTGTGTGGTTTCCTGAGGTAGAATACTAAAGTATTGCAAGGTAGTATGTTAAGGCAATAAATATATCAGCTATTCTGTTAACATTCTCGCAATTTTTCCCATATCAGCAGATTCCTAAAATCATTTATTGGAAAGTGTTATTTAAATGTACCTTTTTGTTAAATAAATTAATTGTAAAAGGAGACTTTCCCACTTACAACTGCAAAGGAAAAATCAGTATTACTTTCTGGAAATAAAAATGACTAACAATAAATGCGATACAAACAAAAAAATGTTACTGTGTTATAGTTACTGTTGCCAGTTCTGGAGTAACCAGGCATCCTCTCTGTTAAATGAGCAAAAACTGGCCACACAACTGTAACTACTGCCACACTCAGCCACCAGTCATGTCCTAAATAGCTGTGAGATTTCTAGATTTGGAGAGATCTAGGCTTTAATTCTAGATTTATCACTTTATTTATTATGTGGGTTTCAAAAACTTCATCTTAGTTTCTATATCTGTTTTAAAACTAGACATTTATTCTGAATTTATTGTCTGAAGTTTTACTGTGCTATCAAAAACATGTATTTAATACTAATTGTGGGGCCAGGGATTTAGCTCAGTGGCAGTGCACCTGCCTCATAAGTGCAAGGTCCTGAGTTCCATCCCTGGTGCCAACAAAACAAAACAAATACTAATTGTGGACATATTAAGAAAATGAGTAAAAAATTTTAAAATCACCATGTCATGTCATGTAAATCACATAATCCAATACTCTAGTTTTTATTAGCAATAACAACTTTTAGTACTGTAACTTTTTATGTCTTTGACTTAATTCCCTTCTTTTTTTTTTTTTTTTT